GAGGAAAGAGAGTGGACAAAAAAATATAAAGGTGTGGGTCTCACCTCTTTGTGAGAGTGAAATGATATAAGTTGTGTCATTTAAAAGTACAAACATTTTTCTCTTTATATACATATATATATATATATATATATATATATATATATATATATATATATATTTTTTGAAAAGCAATCTTTGTAGTGAATATAGATTCTGAATTTAACTTCTTGTTTTCATATATAAAGGTAGGGTTCACTTTTTCTGCAGTTACTGCAGATAACTTATCTGCAGTAAGTCAATACGACGTCGTTTTGGGACGAAAATCATGGTATTTTTGTAATTTTAATTTATTTCAAGGTTATAATAGTCTTTATATTTATAATTTTTAAGATTTCAATACCAAAACGACGTCGTTTTGGGAATAAATGCAGATAAGTTATCTGCATGAACTGCAGAAACATTTTTCCAAGTATGGGTTCGTTTTTTCTGCAGTTACTGCAGATAAGTTATCTGTAGTAAGCCCAATACGACGTCGTTTTGAGGCAGAAATCATGGTGTTTATGAAATTTTAATTTATTTCAGAGTCATAATAATCTTTATATTTATAACCATGATGTTTATGAAATCCGCAGTAAACCTATTTTTAAGTATTGCGTATTGCACCCTTACTTTTCTTGATGTTCACATTAAAAGTTAGGATTTACAAATGTACTTACAAATAATCCCTTAGACATTATATATGCAAAAATCACCTTATCTTAGGAAAAGTGGAAAATTGTTTAACTCGGAACTTATTCGTGAGATGACTTAATTACACCTAACACTAAAAATAACTCCAAAAACAAAAACAGTACTTTTAAGTACCTGAACAATTAATGATGTAAGATTGAATAAGTAATATGGTGATGGTTATATTTATAAATTTTTGTTTAAAAACTCTTACAAATTACATTATGTACTCCCGGAAGTACACTAGATTACACTATGTACTTTCGGGAGAACAGTGACCAAAATGCCACTGTTCACTGACTTTTTTACCTAAATACCACGCGAACAGTATTATTTTTCAATATGTCACGCGGGCAAATTCGCTACAGTACCAATCACATAGATTTGGATTATACCAATCACCAATCACTTCGGAGGGTCATAAATTTTGATTCGGATATCCAAATCAAATATTTTTTATTTTATTTCATATAACTTTTCGAGATATACTCAATGACATCTCATTTGGCATATTTTATATCTCACAAACATCATCTGAATTTGTAACAATGGTATCACAAACAATTAATGTACCAATCACCAATCACAGTTAATGTACCAATGAAAATTATTTACGATTGGTACATTAATTGTGATTCATGATTGGTACATTAATTGTGATCAAAATTAATCGTGATCGGTGATTGATACATTAATTGTGATTGGTGATTGATACATTAATTGTGATTGGCGATTTGTACAGTAATTGTGATTAGTATATTAATTAAATAGTTATTTTTCTTCGTTTTCTTTTTTTGATTGTGATTGGTACATTAATTCTGATCGGGCAACGAGATTGTATCACGTAGCACACTAAGTTCCCTAACCCTGGTAGCGAACTTCGTTCAGTTAACTTTTTCTGCGACAATGTGCCATGTGTCACGAAATCATTGGCTACCAAGTTCACTACCAGTCTTAGCGAACTTGGACTTGTGGCAGTCAACTTTTCCTGCGAAAGTGTGTCACATGTCATGAAATTATTGGCTACCAAGTTCGATATCGCGTGGCAAGTCTGGTAAATTTTACTGTTCGCGTGGCATTTAGGGGAAAAAGTCAGTGAATAGTGACATTTTGGTCAGTGTTCCAACTCATTTGCCTCACAACATAAAAGAATAAAGTTTAACAACTCTCCACACCAAAAAAAAAAAAAAAAAGTTTAACAACTCTTAAATGAAAATACAGCGGCTTCGCGTGAGGATTTTTTTTTCAAATAGTTAGAAGAAAATACTATGCATTTGATTTGGGAAAATGGAAATAGAATTTTTTTTATTTTATATTATTAAAAATATAAAAATAAAACCAATCATGGGTTAAAAGTTGACCTGATTTGATTTTTTATTTAAGTAAAAACGTAAAATCTTGTGTTTCTACCATTTTTACTTTTTTACACGTAATTTTTACTAAAAGGAATTTTTACTTACATTTTAAGACGTATCACTAGAGCTGGCAAAATGGGCCGGGCCAGCCCGCCCCGCCCGCCAAACGGGGCGGGGCGGGCTGAGTTTTCTAAACCCGCTGCCCGCCAGCCCGCCCGGGCTGAATTTTTTTTTTTTTTTTTTAAATTTTAGTGTAAAATATGACGGGCTTGGCGGGCAGAGATATCTAGCCCACCTTCAATGGCGGGGCGGGGCGGGCCAGCCCGCTTTTTGGCGGGCTTTTGACGGGCTGGAGCGGGCAGCCCGCTTTGCCACCTCTACGTATCACCTTAATAAAAACATAAAAATGTAAATTTTTACGTTAGTTTTTAATTACAAGTGAAACAAACTAAGCAATTGATATTAGTTTCAATAGCACTAAGAAATTGCATTATCCTATACGAAATATATTACGATTGTTTCAATTTGTTAAAATCAAAATTCTTCTGTATTTTTTTTATTTTATACTGTTTGACATCTAAAGTAATAATTTCGCTTGCTATTTGTGATTTTGTAGTATTGTATAATAAGCATCATTCTACCCACTTTGAAACGAAAATTAAAGATTAAATACCATTTTTGATCCTTAATAAAAAATACAGTCCCCCACTTTAGTCCCTTACAAAAATAAATTAGTCAATTAGTCTCTAACAAATTCAAGGTGAACCCATTTTAGTTCTTTTGAGGAACTAATATGGGTCTTTTTTAAATTTGTGAAGAACCACGATTTCAACTAAATTGGTCCACTTTGAATTTGTTAGGGACTAAGTGACTAATTTATTTTTGTAAGGAATTAAAGTGCGGACCATGTTTTTTGTTAAGAACTAAAAAGGGTATTTACTCAAAATTAAATTCTCTACTGAAGAGAAGGTCACAATTCAAGAAAACAAAACAAAATTGAATTTAGTCACAACAAAAAGCTTGTACGTTAAACAATCTCTCCGATAATCGAACAAAAAGCTAAAGCATAAATAAAGATAGCATCAAATCAGTCAGGTAAAATATCAAATACTACATATAAGATGTCTCAAACTTTTCACACCCGAAAACATGTGGTGTTCTATTTCAAGTTTTATCCCTCCCATCTTTGTTTACACTTCCTCCAATTGCTTTTCAACCCTTATAATAATCAAATACTCATTTGAGCCTGTCATTGTAACTGGCTTGAAACAACGAGGAAAACATCCAACCCGTAATTACCATTTTAAACACAGCAAAAATCAACGAACATTTACTACACCATAATTTGTCTTCATTATCAATCAACAAAAACTCTTCACTCAACTCCAACAGACAAATTGCTGAGAAGCCTCGATCGAACTGACTCCAAATCTGACACTTTGTTGATGCTGCAAATGTTTCAGGTTTTATAAACTATAAGAATTTTGAAAAGAAAACTAAGAAATAACTACTTCCAAGTAAATGCCAGAGGATTTTGGTTCACAATAACACAGACTAAAGCCATCAAGAGTTCTGGTATTCCATTAAACTGATAAGAAATAGCCTGCATTTCATTAAGAAAGAACAAAAAGAACATGCACTAATAGATTTAATGATTTGGTAACAAAAGTAATTAATGTTGCATGCATTCTACATTCTTTTGGGCAGATAATAAACTCAGCTCAATGTTACACTAAGCTATTTTCGGAATTGCAAGGAATCAGTCCTCACGAAGTATAAAATTATGTCACCCCAACTAGTCAATAAACAAAAGATGGACTAAAAATCTCTATGGCCTACTTAGCATGACATTCGGTGATGCTATTGTTGACGTTTGATGCAAGCACATAACAAACTATCCATTGCTCTACTAACGAATCAATATAATAGAGATCTTCATTTAAAGAAAAAGTAATAGACATCTTCAATGATTTCCCACGATAATAAGAATTGTGTGTAAAATCATGCGAAGGCTGCAATTTCACTGTTAGATGTATGCATACATTGGGATTCAATTGTTCTTCTGGCATTGCTAACAATTCAAGTCTAGGATGTTCCGACATTACACTTAGACCATAAACTTTTCCTCTCCCTATTATCCGATGCTAGAGCACACATGCTTCCCAAGATATCCTCATTCCATCTCCAATCTGTAACACCCCCAAATTTTCTAGGGCTATTACACAATCATTAGTTGACTATTGTATATATTACAGACAAATGGACATACAATAGTCATATAGACATGCATCAGTAAGAACATAATAAAAAATTTAAAAACAATATAAAAAACCACACTATAACAAGCAGCATAATTTGATCACATAGTTAAGAAATGAAGTCAGTTTACAACATTGCATACGCGGAAAGTCCACAGCAACAAAATTGAAAATTATTAACTAGACTTATCCGTGGCATGAAAACTATTGAAAAAAAAGGTTAATGGAGGGTAGCTCTTATCCCTAAAAACTAAATAAATAAATTCCAAAAAATTTAGCTTTAGTTTAGGCACTAAAGTTTAATTGATATTATCAATAACCAATTATACCAAAAGCGTAAGTTATTAGACAAAGATTCAAGCTTTAGTTTAGGCCCTTTGCGTTTGAACCGTAAACAATGCACGGGACCATTCTACATTGTGAACAGTGGACACAACAAGGAGTCAAGGATCTAACTCTGGACTACTAGGTCAAGGAAGCATTAGTGTCATATCAATGACCCACTATCCCAAAAGTTTAATTTGTTAGGTGAAACTCAAAATGTGTTTTATATCTCTAACAAATATAAATTGGACCTTGCAAATATTTCACATTTTCCTCAGCAGCTCCTACCAAGTTTCATAAACGTACCTAAAATCAAAAAAGAAAATCTAGCTTTATGTTCTACAAGTCTGACTCAGATATGCTCACATCCGTAGAAGATACTAATACTATAAAAGCACAAAGATCTAATCAACAGTAGACAGAAATTAACCCACCAGTAAATAATATCTCCACTAGAAACCAACTTCTTGCAAATCCAGTCTGGCACCAACTTTTCCAGAAACTCGATCTGTTCTTCAACTTCACCTATAGGGATGACAAAATTAGTTAGCTACTTAGTTTATTAACAACAATCAATAAGAAACCATGTACTTCGTAATAAATAGAATTAGAACATACTAATTTCAACAAAATCCGAGCTGTTCATAATTATCTTTTGCAGGAGCTCCTCTTTTGTGATTGAAGTTCTTTTATCAGAATGAAATATAGAGTGAATAACATTAACATAATCCAGCAATGATGAAATTTTTTTATTCCCTGCATCTACACCAGCTAGATTTTGGTTGGTTTTCTCAAAAGAATAACCAAGGCTCTCTTTGACCTGCATTGAGAAACCAAGTTACAAGAAAAAATATCACTTTCACAAAAAAAAAAATTGATAAAATTCTTTCATGACTTTTCAAAAAAAAAAATGCAAAATTAATAAAGATTCATTGGTAAACCCCTTTGTTGTCAATCTAGAAAGGGAAAGAAGGAGCAATCACAAAATATAAAACCATCTCCATTATAAATTAAAAGGACCCCGTGGTAGTTTTACATATGTACTTTAAATACCAGAAGTTTCAAAGGGAAACTTGTTCCATTATTACACCCTATTTGACACTTCCTGTTTAATGAAGCAACTTAAATTATAAGATTATAGGTTTAATCTAAGTTATAAATAAAGACATTAATATTTTCATTAAACTATCACTGATGTTTTCACTTTCAATCTTCAACGCATTTCTCACTCCTCATCTTCATATCTTCTCATAACCATCTCCTCTATTCCACTTTTTCACGCATGCACATATGATCTGAGCCCCACTAGTTAGAATTTAATGCAAAGTTGAGAAGTATTACAATCAACATTAACATCACCTTTATCCTAAACCAATTGGGGTCGGCGGTCGATGGACCCACATAAAAGCAAGAACAAAATAAGGAAAACCAAATAATAAATAAGATAATAATAATAATAATAATAGTAATGTGAACTATTAGAAAAAAATTTGCTTCATTTGTAAGTTCTCCATTGAGGACAGAAAGAAAGCTTCAAAACAGAATATTTAGTGAGTGTCAGAAGTATAGCAAGTAGAATTAGTTAAAGATTAAAACCAGGGTGAGATGGCAGACCTCCTGAGGTAGAGCAACAGGGACAAAAGAATTGCTATTCTCAGAACATCCTCTGCTAGATTCAGGGATGCTAACAAATTCATCCGGTGCCCTGCTAGACTCTAACTTGTCTAGTCTAATGTCCAAGCCATCACAGCCTTCCAGGAGCGAAAAGTGAAGCACTCTTTTTGCAGACTTAGGACATGATGTTGACTTTTGAGTAGTCATGTTCTGAAGCTTAACATCAGAAACGGGCATCAATCTCCCAGGTGCTGACTGGGCAGGTGTCTCTATCATTAAACTATCAGCGCAAGAGACAATTTTCATATCAGGGCTTTTAGAACTACTGCAACAAACAGAATGTGGAGGGCAGATCTTATGCACTGGTGTATTTATAACACCTGGTTGATAACACATAGAAAATGATTCCTTCTGCTGCCTTCTTTCTGTATTCAGATTAGTTACACAATCAGGTAATGGAGCACATTCTTTCTGCCATGTGCTTTCACTTCGTTGGTTATCTAGGCAATCAGAGACATGGGATGACAGAGAAGTTTTAGTGGGTGAAAAGCATTGATGCTTTCCTGTCTGATCAGCAACATTCTTCCGAGAAAAATGTCTGCGAAAAGATGGATACAAATGGAGTTTCTCAGGCAGCAGTTCAATTTGATTGGAAGTTGACGGAAGTTCTGTTGAAGAATTTAAAGGCAAAGCTTCACAAATCAAGCTATGAGTTCTTTGGCTAAAGGGCTCTGGCAGTATGGCCTCCGGAATATCAGGAGCCTTATCCATAATAAAACAAAAACAAAATTGATGAGAATTCTTTTGTATCAATCATACTATCAAATTTCTCTAGCTAACTAAAAAGAATAAAAGTAAATAGCTAAGCCTGAACCAAAACAAAGCAGCTGTACAAAGGTAAGCCTAACAACAGAATCTCATAGCTACTTTTTCATCATCGTCAACCCATTTTTAATTGAGGATAGCATGCTACCACACAGTATGGCTACCTATTAGACAAAATGACAATTCACAGCACAGAATACTTTGAAGATAATCTAAATACCACTACAGTAGTAATCTTGCGTTCCACACTCCACACACTACATTGCCACGATATGGTAGTATACTAGTATTATTACATTGACAATGGTGGACCTGGTCAGATGAATACATCTGATGCAACCAAACAAGTTCCATTAACAGCCTCAGATTGGAATTAGGACTGAGAATTCTTAGAACGTAAAATATAATCCACATGACAGCTAAAGATCTAGAATAATCCCAAACCAATGTTAATAGTGTTAATTGCTACTTCAAATACAACTCATACAATCAACAGCAATAACAACCCAAAATTGAAAATGTTACCTCAGGGTGCATATTGAAGAAATCAATCAGCCTAGAACAAAAATATTGGCGAAGAGCCATATCAGCAAATTCTTTGGAGTATTCTTCCACAACCTCAAATATCAAGGTGATCTTCATGTCCGGCTTCATACACAAGCTCTTCTTATCATGAACTAACACCTTATCTATATGTATGCCTTCGGGAAGTATATACTTCATCTGCGCAAGATGGGCATGGGAGAATTTTCTGGAAATAAAACACACTACAGTCACCACCATAATCCTTCAATCAAAAGCTTCAAAAAATTGAATTCTGAGGGAAAACATATAAGAATGTAACCTTCAAATGGATAGTGTCCATTAATTAATTTGGGGGAATTTTAAGAAACAAATCAATTACCTCTTGCCAAGAACTTCGACCTGCTTGCTAATATTTTGAAAAGTTGGAGATTTTTTACGCAGATGCAGCAATCTAAGTGAACAGCTCATGTGACTAAACAAATCTGCAATGGTCCTGCATCTGAAAAAAAAAATCAGAGAAAAACATAAATTAATTTTTCTACAAAAATTAAAAAAAAAAACTTTGAAAAAAAATTCCCCCAAAAAAAAAATCAATATAATTGAATTCATTTAGGTTGCGCACTTTTCTGGAAGCTGAGTTTCTGCCTGCTTGGATTTGATAAGCAAGGGTTCAAAGTTCTTCTCTGGAGTTGGGCATGCAATTGGTGCATCAACTGCGTGGAGAAGCTTCCTACAGTTGACATCCGAAGCATTTTTTGCAGATTCCTCACACTTGAAATCCGAAGCACTTTTTGCAAATTCCTCACAGTCTTTTTTATCCATTCTCCACAACAACAACGCAGTAGCGAAAACTGTAGGGAATTGAAATTAGTGCATGAATTCAAACTGCATTTGAACGGAACGGTGCTTTGAGAAAGAGCGCTTACCTGACAGTGATTGCAGGATTTGATGGGAACCCTAGGCTTGGTTTTTGAGTCAACTCGGTTGTGACTCGGAATGGAGGGAAAATAAGCACATTCAAGTACCTGCGTATATAAAAAGGCATTGTCGTTTTTTATTGAAAAGACTTCTTTGCCCTCGTTTTGTTTAATCCTTTTCGCGTTTCTGCGTTTGGGCATTTGACCGTTGAGGGGCACAAGAAGTCTTGAGATTTTTCCCTTTTCCTTTTCTTTTTTTTTGGGTTGTCTCCTAGTCCAAATTTCAAAATAATATTTTTCAATATATTACTCTTTATAATTCTAAAATTTATTTTAAAATATTAAAAAATATTTATTATAATTTTATTTACTGAAAAAATTATTTTAAGAGTGGAAAATATTACTTGGAAAATAATAAATTTAATGATGTAAATTTATTTTGTATCATAAGCATATATTATTATAGGGAAAAAAGTATCTAATGTTACTTTAGACAACTTTGTTTAATGTTCATCGAAACGACGTCGTCTTGGTGTTGAAAAATTAAAAAATTAGAATGATAAAGACTATTATAACCCTAAAATAAATTAAAATTACAAAAACATCATGATTTCCGCCCCAAAACGACATCGTTTCGATGAACATTAGATAAAGTTATCTAAAGTAATTTTAGAAAAAACAAACCCATTATTATAAGTTAAAATAATTATTTAAGATATTTGGACCCAAAATTTGAAAGTATCCTCATTTCACGGCCCAAAATTGGCTAAAAGAATGGACTTGGTTTAATTGGCTGTGTGATCTATTAGCCCAAAAAGCAAAGATTTTTTGCAGTTTGCATTCAACGACAATATTCACTAACCAGTCCTTAAATTCTTCCTCTATACCATGTTGTTTAAGATACACTAAAATTTTATAAAAATCACACAAAAGATTTGAAATATTTAATTTTTAACATATATATAGTAAAACTTTTCTATAGTTATTAGGGTATGTTCCTTATTTAATACTTTAGTAGTTCATCATGTTGAGTTTTAATGGCTCATAATCACTCTAATAAATGCAATAACCCCATTTAATTCTGAAGATTCTTAAAGAAAGCTGAAGAGTTTTCCCCATTCATATAATAGGATAAAACTTCTTAGTCAAAGGTTAGCCAGTGTGTTAGAATTTTACTCGTGTTAGGATTCTTCTGCGGAGATGTTTGAGTGTGTAACATCTTCAGAGAAAAAATCTTGTGTATTTCATTCTTCTAAAAGTGAAGGAATTGTGTAATTCTCTAGCAAGTCAATATTCATATAGTGGAAAATTTTGTTGCACTAGATCCCGTGATTTTTACTCGTATGCAATAAAGAAGGTTTTCCATGTTAAAAAAAAAGTGTTATATGTTCTTTCTTTTCTCTTAACCTCTATTTTTCTGGTTTTTTTTTCTCTTTTTATTTGTTTGGGCAAACCTCCAAACATCAAATTGGTATGCTTCACTTGAAGACTTATTTGCTTTTGTGTTTGTTGATTGAGGGACATCATCCTAACAGTGATATCAGAGCTTGATTCACTGGTTCTAAGGAGATAAAAGATGGAGGGAAGCATTTCACACAACACTGACATGTTTAAATTCATAGCAAAAAACTATTCATATTGGAAACCTATGATAGAAGATCACTTGTACTATAAAGACCTTTATGAGCTTATTCTAGGTGCTAAGAGACCTGAAGACAAAGAAGTAAAGGACTGGGAACTCGTAAATAGGAAGGTTGTGGCCATGATAAAAAAATACATTGACAAATCTTATTCATGCATATGTTAACATACACCATTGCTCACGAATTATGGACGAAATTGGAGTCCATGATTCAAAAGAAAACCCTCATGAACAAGGCACTCCCGGTGCGTTGTCTTGTAAAGCTGGAGTACAAGGAGAAAAGCCGGAGTAGAAGGAGAACCAAAGCATGATTGAGCACCTCAACACATACAAAGGGGTCATCAACCAGTTGTCAAAGGTAGAGATGAAAATCGATGATCAGCTCTACGCTCTTATGCTCTTCAGCTCACTGCTTGAAAGTTAAGATACTCTAGTAGTGATACTCAGCAACTCAACCCCTGAAAGGAGATTACTAATGGATTTAGTAGTTGACAACCTCCTGAACAAAGAGTCTAGGAGAAGAGAACGAGGTGTTACAAGCACATGTGAAGCTAATGCTGCTGAGAATAGAGGTAGGTCTGACTTCCTAAGATGGAATAAAGGTCGAGGTTGTGACAAATCTAGAGGTCAGTCAAAGCCAAAGACTAAACTAACTTACTTCTATTGTGGGAAGCAAGGATACAAGAAATGTCGCTCTCTGGAGAGAGATCAAAAGAACAACCATGTCAAGCTAGATCAAATAAAACTGAAGAAGAAATAATATGAGAATACCACTACGATGGTTGACAACATTGACCTAGAAGTCTTCTTGCTAGGTAAGGATAAAATTTTGAACGTTACTTATGATGAATATTCTTGGATTGTAGATTTAGTAGTATTACTTATACAAATATTTCTTCGCTTTATACAATAGTGGAGACTTCAGAGTCTTGAAAAAGTGAGTCCAAGTCTCTAACAAAATTGTTGGAGTTCGTGATGCAACCTTGACAACAGATGTAGGAAGTCAGATAGGGATGAAGGAGGTCATGCATATTGTAACACCCCGTATATATCCGGTAATGTTATCATAATATCGTATTAAGCTGCGCTTAATTAAAATGCGGAATTACTTTTTCTTTTCAATTATGATGCCATTAACATTACCAATCTTGCTTAATAATCAATTAATAAAACATCGCATGTATGTAATTGCAATAAAACAGCTAACTGAAATACCTCATAACATAGATAATATAAGTGTGGCTCTAGTCACGGAACTACAACAACGTAGACCGGACCATCTAACAGTTTATACAACTCCAAATACAAGTACTAACAGAAAGTGTCATGGACAATCCCCATGCTCACTCAAATAAGGCAACATGCCCAACATCAGTCTCAACAACAACATATCATAAATAGCGGAAACATAAACAGCATCCAAATCCAGTCATGCTAACATATAAGCAGAAACAACATAATCAGCTAAGCTCCGGCCTCCTGCCGCCTGAGGCATCAGTACCCATACTACCTGATCCTGAAATAAGCATTCCCCAAACGTGGGGTAAGATCTCTAATCTAGAAATCTCAGTAAGTCAGTGAGTCCTCAAGGATCTTCCACCCCAAGCTCACTTACATGTGCAATATAAGTTAAAAACAGTTTATCATTTATCATTTCTAAAACAATGCAATGCAGCAGATAATCATGTCATGTGTGTCAATACTAATCTACTGGCCAGAGACAGTGCAGGTATACGTCTATCACCTATACACCGTGCAAGTACCACTTGCATTCACCCCGGTACACCATCTTGTATGGCGCTACATACTCAGGCTTCCCGTCAAGATGAAACAACACATGCATATTAAAAGCCATTACATGTAAAGTTCAATCAACATATCAAATATCCAAAAGCATGTACACAGCATGCATAAACCATACCCCCATGGGACATGGTGGAACCACAACATGGCTAAACCGAGGACACGAAAGCTTACCTTGCAAGCTAACTCCAAAAGCCAAGAGTCCACAGCTCAAAGTCCAAACACAGCAGATTCACAATCTGTTATGGGCCAACAATACATCAACAACATGCACCACAAGCATACAATATTAAGACAACGCCTTTTCATTACGTTTTCAAGTCTTAAAGCTTCTAACAAAGCCACAAGCCCTTAATCCCATGATTCTGGCTTAATCCATTAAATACAGAAGTTCAACTTCATCAAACTAGGGTCCACAAACCCGTAATAGCCTACTGTACACACAGCACAGCTGTTGTTCTGCGAAATCCCACGACAGAATGCAGTTTCTGCATTTTTGTGAAGATATCCCTAAAAGGTTCCCTTTTTACCAATTTTAAACACCTAATCATGCATTTCTAGATGTGTTAAGCCTCACCCAACAACAAGTTATCATCTTTTAACCTTAACATGCATCAAGCTTTCATTTTTAAGCATTAAACTCATGATTAAAGGTTGGTACACATACCAAAGGCCAAAACAGAAGAAGAGGCTGCTCTTTGGAGCTCACAATCAGCCCCTCAAGATTGACTTAACAAGGTGCACGAAAATGGATCAACAAGCTTGGACCTTTCAACACAAAGGAAGCTTCTTGGACCTCATAATGCCAAAACAAAGGCTTCCACACACAACCAACCCAAGTCAGCCTCAAAACCTCACACACAGCAGCTCTCTCAACTCAGAAAAGACCAGCAATAGAGTCCCAAGGCTAGCTCTCACCCTCACCAAGTGTATCCCAAGTGAAAGTGTGACGAAAAATCAAGAAAGGAAGTGTCTTGGACCCAAAATGGAGGAGAAACCCCACAAGTCAGCCAAGCTGATCAGCCACCCTCAACTCTCACGTTCACAATATGTTTCTAGGGCATTGTGCCCTTAGAAATGGGTATTTATAGCCCAAGCCACTTAAACACACAGTGTTAACTTTAATTGCTACACTTAGCATTTTAATCCCAAACTTTAGATTCTGAAACTACATAATTTTCTAAGATTTATCATATTTTTCTTATAATTTTCTGAGCACTTTTCCGGTACGCGCTTTTCCAAGCCAGTACCGATTTCTAGCACCAGTTCTCATTATCTGGACTTGAAACTCGTTTTGTAAGTCCTACATATTATTCTAGTAATTAACATGCACTTAGTATAATTTTCCGGGATACTTTTTCGGTACGCATTTATACCGACTAGCAGAACCGGTATCTGCACTTTTCTTCCGAAAAGCGACTTTTATCATTATTACTCACTTACTATAATTATTAAAGCCTCATAATAATTATTAGAGTCAATTATGGAATCATTTCCTAATTTCGCATAATTAATTAATTAAATACCTTAATTAACGGTGCAGGTTCTTACATTCACCCCACCTTTTTAGGATTTTGACCTCAAAATCAGAAACATACCTGGTCGAAACTCGGGGTACTGCCGGAGAAGCTCGTCCTCACGCTCCCACGTACACTCCTCAGGAGTCCTTCCGGTTCACTGCAC